GAATCAGGGGCCTGGTCCCATCAGCAAAGAGGATTAGATTTAATTCCTGAATCTGGACGTGTTCGTTGGAAAGATGCAGAAAACTGAGACTGATCTGCTCTTCTGAATATATGCACATAACACATCCAGATTCAGAAATTAAATCCAATCCTCTTTGCTGATGGAACCAGGCCCCAGATATTGGGCCTGGCTGCACTACTCTCAAAATGTGCAAAACGAGAGTGAATCCTCCGCTAGAATATGGAAAGATACACCCCCAATATTTTTGTTCTTTGTGCATGTCGAGAGTAGTGCGCCCATTAAACTGATCAGAACAGGTACTACACTTGATCTTGTCAAAATTAGAATGAACTTCCCGGTAGAACACGGCCAGATGCACGGGCGACTTTTTTTTTTTTTTTTTTTTTTTTTTTTTTTTTTTTTTTTTTTTTTTTTTTAAATGCTGTGTCTTTAATATTTGAATATAAAAATCCTTCATGCCGGGGACCTCACAATTCTACCCGGAAGTTGGAGCCAATACTCTCCTTCGACGCCTGCTGGAAAACAGGTCCAGCGTCCTCTAGAAAAAACGAGAGAAAGCAAACCAGTCTGTGTAGTCCGAAGTCCTGCGGGAGGCCGGAAGTGACGTTTGCTGGAAAAACAGGTCCAGCGTCCTTGGTACTGTCACTGTATACTAATCTGAAGTGCCAATTCGCTGGGGGCAGTTCTGTGCCTACTGAGATAACACATTTACTGAGAGGGAGGAGATGTGCTGCTGTCTAGCAGGATACGGGGGCTGTCCGTCTAGTTACCTAGCTGTGAGATGAGCTCCTGGGGCCTGGTCCCACTAGCAGCTGTTTAGTTTAGAAATGTGATACAGTGGGACACGAGTGACACACTTTGGCCATTGGATGTAACAGATCGGACGCCCGGTCATGGTCATGGGCGTTGTAGAAGAATGCAATAAAATGTTAAAGAAAATTCAAAGAAAGGCAACAAACAGAAAAGAATAGTCTCTTAGCACTGGCAATGCCCACACAATCCTTTTCCCGCCCAAAGGCCCGCAGTCTTTGATTCTAGCCTACCAAGCGGTAGGCTAGAAACAAGGACTGCCTCCTGTGTGTGAAGAAAGCTGTGGTTGGTCTGTCAGTCGTCAGATTCAACTGTCAGGTCTCTCTTTACTTTTTCTCTCACAATGCAAATTTGATATAGCACATCTTTGTCAGGCAGCCCACTAATCTAACGGCTGCACAGATTTTAGCTCTTCTTTTCTTTGCTGTCCTGGCTGTCACACAACTCCAAAACTAAACTAAACCTCCCTCTAGTGGCACCAGGCTCCTGGGCAGCGATTCTTTCATCCCATAGCAGGCGAGAAAAATTAGATTTTACCATTGGGATTCCTCCCTGCCCAGTGGAAGGGAGATTCCCAATACCTAATAGATGTCGCAGAGTTATCAGCCCGCCCTAATTTCCTCTGTTCGGATCTCCTGTATTCTGCTAGTATTAACGTACGTACAGACAGTCTGAAGCTGTTCCTCAGGACTGGCTGGGCTGTGGCTTTCCCTGTACTAGGTTTTTAGTGAACGGTTTCTTTCTTTCTTTTTTTTTTTTTCTTTTTTTTTGTTTGTTTGTTTGTAGTGAACGGTTTCTACCAATTGTCCCCGCGTCATTGGTCGTACTTTTTTTTTTTTTTTTTTTTTTTTTTTCTTTTCTTGAAAAGGGCCACGGCGAGCAAGTCCTCGGAACGTTCGTGGAAATGGGCCTCCCTGCACTACTTTCCGAATCTACAAAACACAAAAAAAATGGCAATGTACATTTCCGTGTTCCAGGGGAAGATTCAGTCTCGTTTTGCGCATCAGGAGAGTGGCGCAGCGAGGCCCAATGCTTTGTCTACCAGCGGGGTTAGCTCAGTTGGTACACCCTCAAACTGCTGAAATGCAGGCATGATATTTTTTATTTTTATTTTTTTTAAACCAACTTTGCATTTTATTAAACAGAAAAAAGAAGAAGAAGGAGGCCGAATCCCTCCACAAAAAACCGGGGGCAAGGTCCCACTTGCACGCATTAGGAGATTTCGGCTGTCGATCTCGGCTATGTACGGTCTCTATCTCTTAATTCGTGCAGGTGGGACCTAGCCCCCGCCGAAAAGAGCTCTGGGACCATTACCCAGTTTCTGGTGCAGACCTGATTTCGAGACCAGACGGAAGGAGATCAATGATTTTTTTTTATTTTTCATTTTCCCATGAATTAGCTAGGGCCGGTCGGTTTCAACTTTCACTATGACATCTTTATTTTTTTTTACAGCTACGATATATCGCGGCTGTCGTCCTTTTTTTTTTTTTTAAGCCTCTTTTCGGGCCCTTCCTCATTCACTCGCCAAGTGTGAAGAAGGAAACAAATGGCAACCGTATCCTTTAAAAAAAAACAAAAAAAACTCAAATGCATCATAGCCTCTTTCCACGTCTTGCTGAAGACGCTGATTTCTTTTTTTTTTCCCTCTTATTTTTTCGAGTCGAGGAAGGACTGTCCGTTTTCACTTTTTTTCCCTCTTTTTTTTGAAATGGTTGCGTTGACCAATAAGTAGTATTCTTTAATCATTGGCCTTTAAAAAAAAAAAAAAAAAAAAAAAAAAAAAGAATATTCAGTTTCGATCAAGCGAAACGGAGGGCGATGCTGGAGATTACGATGTCCGTAATGAAAATCGGCCGGTGTTTCGAAAGTCTGTGTGGCCAAGGGGGGGGTGGGGGTTCTTTCGACGAGCAGCCTTTCGAATGACGTCTGACATTTTTCGCAAAATGCCTTCAGTCGAAAGGCTGTGGCGAGCCCCTTAATTTCATTTCTTTGGGGCTCACCACACCACTGTCGAAAAAATAGATTTTGAACAGTTCCGATATTAATTTCATTTCTTTTGGGCTCGCCACCCCACTGTCCACAAAAATAAATAAATTCAACAGCTTACCTTTGCCACACAGCACGTTGAAATCACGGTGAAATCCGGGGGCTAGGTCCCACTTGCACGAATTAAGAGATACTGACCGTAGATAGCACAGGTCAACGGCCCAAATCTCCTAATTTGCGCAAGTGGGACCTTGCCCCGGGTTTGCCCGTATTGTGCTGTGTCTCTTACACGTTGCACTACACATCAATCACGTTGAAATCGGGGTGTTTTT